AATTACATTTAGTATAATTTTGTGCACTTCTGTGGTGTTTCTCTCTTTCGATCAAGTCTTTGATAAATAATTTTAAAAAAAACCTCTGAATGTAATCTGAATAAAGATAAAGTACCTTTTGCATGTAAAAAAGTATTATTCATAAAGTTAGATGAATTTGTGGACACATGGACTTTTACATGCTATGAGACTGCCATCTAGTGGCCAATTTTGTACAAAGCTTAAATGATTGCCTACATTAAACATTAAATAATCAGTTGCATTCATTTCTTATGGCTCTATCTGCAGCTTTTCCAGAGTCATTTCTTATGATAACATTTTTCCACAGGCCAACAACAGCTTCAAAAAAACTATTTCCCTCAAAAAAAAAAAAAAACATGCCCTGCTGTCGTGAGAAATAAAGTGCAAGAGGAAACATCCATTAAACTCAGTGTGCTGCTCTGTGATGCACACTAAGCCAGATACTTGGCATCTCATCTTGGGTGCAAGTTCATCAATGTTTGGGGTCAGGCTCTGAGCTGAGGAGACCCTCAGGATGGAGTGAAGGTGTCCGTGCAATATACCGGCGGGCCAGATCTAATAGTAATTACAAATTATCCTGCGGGACGAAATTAAATCCACCACGGGCCTGATTTGGCCCGCGGGCCTTGAGTTTGTCATGTATGTTTTAAGGGAAAGAAGCATTTAGATGTTCACAAAAACACAGCAGAGATAAGCAAAATATAATTACAATGATATTGAATGTTGATTCTTCATCTGTCTGTAATGTTAAACTGTTTCCACTGTGGGTGTAGTCTCCTCTGGCCACAGATTGATGACAGTGCGGATGCTAAAAGAAGAAAAACTTTTGTGAGTAATACAAGGAGTCCCAAACACTCTCACTTCCAGAAAAACTTTTAAAACGAGTGGCAGCAAATAAACCAGGTCTTACCCTTTCCCTTTTTTCATATGATCAAAGGCCACATTGATTTTCTCCAGTGGGAGTTGGTCGGTGATAAACTCATCCAGCTTCAGCTTCTTAATCATGTAGTCATCCACCAGTTTAGGCACATCCTCCACACTCTTCCAATCTGAAGAAAAGGATACAAACTCATGAACCACTACATAGTGGAAATGAATAAACTCCGAGAAAACTTTTTGTAAGTTATATAATTTACCAGCGTCTCCTTAGTGAACTTGTTGTTGCAGGCTTGAGTGACTCAAGAAGAAAGACTTTACTTTACAACCTGAAACGTAAGATTAACTGAGAGGTATATGGCAATTTAGATGACCATTTTATTCTTCAAGTCATTATTTGGTCAAAAGTACGTATAAATATTTCACTGGTTATATCTTTGTTTTTCTGATTTATGTAATTACAAATGTAATACTTGGTGATTAGACTAAGGATTTTAAGACATCACCTTAGTTCTCTGAAAACGTCTCTTGTGATTGACCTACTACCGTTGTTTGACTATTAATATTCTTACCAATTATGAACACAAATCATTAATTAAAGCCTTAATCAAAATATTAAGACCCAAACAAAACGTTTCAGTTGCCAACATCAACTTTGCCCTACAAATGCGACGGCTGAAACAAAACATTTTATATTTGAGGGTGGATCTTGACTTGTTCAGTCTTCATGTGAACAATGATATTTCATTTTCAGTGTTCACTTATCCTTACATTTCATCATGCCACTAACAAACAATTGTTGATGAAGCATTGGCAATTTGTTTCCTTGAAGTAACAGGCCTTGTAACTTATTTTAAATTCAGCTCCAAAATAAGTCCCCTTCAAGGTGCGTCCCATCAGGATCTTTTCAACCTTGATGTTTATTGCCTCAGCCTCCGACCATCCGACAATGACACAGGTTCCCCAGGCATCTCTAGTGGACTCGAACGCAGAGTTCTAGGACAACACACAGAAGCCATTGTGTCAAATATTACTCCTTTTAAACGTATTAACAATAATCAAACGAGGATCAGTGCATCATTTTGACAAACTTCTTATCAAACAATGTGTACATGCTGTATTACAAACCAGCATGTATTGACAGAGTACTGATTCCCACATGATACCTACTCTACATTTACACCTGTACACCCACCATAACAACTGGACTCCCGACACACTCCAGAGCGTAGTCCACCCCCCCCACTTGTTATGTCCAGCAGAACCTCCTGGATGGTCTTGGCATGATCGTTGGGGTTGACACATTCAGTGGCTCCGAACAGTCTGGCTTTCTGAAACCTCTCTGGGTTTACGTCCACGCCAATGATCCTGCTGGCCTTAGCAGCCTGGCAGCCCATGATGGCCGCCAGTCCGACAGCTCCGAGGCCAAACACGGCACACGAGGAACGTTCCTCAACCTGGATGCACACAATGTGGGAGTCAGTCAACCAAAAGCTGTTTAGGAGACATCTGACGAGACAGCTTTATCATGTTCAGAGATAACTTTCATATAAGGATACATTTTCTTAACACATCGATTATAACATTTTTATTTATGTTATCTTTAATAGATCGATTTTAATTTAATGCAATCATGTGTTTAAGCCTAAAAACACACTGTATGTCAGATTTGTTTAAATAAACGATTTTTTGCACTTTTTGAAAGGAAAGATTATTATCAGGCACACAAAAATACTTTACATTATTTAAATTGAATTCATTGTTTTAGGGTTAGATTTTCCCCTACAATGCTATTGAGCAATCCCAAATGTATGAAATATTTAAAGTAGTTGATCATTTCCTATATGTTGTGTTTAGGTCGATGTTATACACATCATAATCTTTTCCATACCTTTTCAGTCTCTTTCTTATGGTTTTGTTTTCATCCTTTTTGTCTATTATATCTAGTATATAGGGGCTTTTGAATTATGTTCAACCCACTATGCTATGAAGTATACTTCAGATCTTATCAGACTACCTTTATGTCCCAGGGGGAAATTCGGTTATTTTACCCTTGCACCATTTTAGAATAAAATGTGGTGCCAATGTTATCTACTGACATCTAGTGGGGAAAACAATTAACTGCAGCCATGCTTTGTACCATTAATCAAACTGGAGAAACACCTGAGTAATGTCACATACAAAATACAACTTAAATGTTTTTCTTCTTAATGGATTTGCTGTGGCATGTTCGTAAATAATCTTTGTATCTGCATCCCTCTTGTTCACACTACAGGTAGGGTTCCTCACACCACAACCACAGGATGGTATCAGAGCTGGCGAGCATTCAAATTATAATTTGAATGCATCTATCAGGCAGATGTGGATCCTCTTACCTTGGCTGCTTTAACCGCAGCACCATAACCGGTAGAGATGCCACACCCTAGTAGGCACACTTTGTCAAGCGGTGCATCACTTCTTATCTTTGCTAGAGAGGTATCTGGGACCAGTGTACTGGGAGAAAGAGCTGACTCCAAGGAACTGGTACACCTGCTGGCCCTTGTAAGATATCCTGCTAGTGCCATCAGCCATTACACCCGCTTGTGTATTTGCCCTAAAAACCACCAAAAGGAAAACAATGAGTATTAAAACACTATAAACACAAGAAACATGTGTATGTGTGTAAATGTATTCATGATCACCAGTTCTTCCTGCACCGATTGGTTTTGGGACTCAGACATCGTTCACATTCCCCACACTGTGGCAGAAAAAGAGGAATAACTTTGTCCCCTGTGCAAACAAAAAAGTACTTAAGTCAGAGTGAACTGTCTTGTCATGTCCCTATTCTGCTTCTTTGTGTGAGCTGTAAGATTCACCTTGTGAGAATTTTGTGACTTCAGGGCCGACGCTCTCCACTATTCCCGCTGCTTCATGGCCGAGAACCAATGGGAACTGTCTGAACTGTCCAGTCAGGTATTCCTGGTCTGTGTGGCACACGCCTGAGGCAATAATCTGCACAAACAAGGTCATTCATGTGACTCAATTTTAGGAAGTATATGTTGTTGTTGTTGCTGCCCAATTTCCATTACAACACGGAACTAACCAAGACAGAGGAAGTCAGCTGTTTTCCAATATTTCCTGAGTGGTTACATTTGTCACTGAGGGAAATTCAACATTATCACATGTATCCATGTTTTTATTTCATTCTTATATAATGTAACACATTATACTACCAATGATTCCCACTCATCCATTTTCACCTGTTAACACCTGAGTGTTTGCTCTAAATACCTCCATTTAAAACCACATTTTGAGACATGTTTTCTTGCATTACAGACAACTTTGGGGTGATCTGCTGACCTTGATGCGGACTTCATGCACTTTAGGTGGGGCCACCTCCACATCCTCAATGGTGAGAGGCTTCCCAGGCTCCCATGCAACAGCTGCTTTGCACCTGATGACCTAAAAGAGAAAGTTAATGTGTATATTTCTCTCTATAATAGAGACAAATATAACCAACACATTCACTTTCTGCATCCAGTCTGCATTCATTGGAGACGGTAATAGACTATTACCTTCTCCAATGAATGCAGACTTGACAGGTGAGTCTTTTATTAATTGTTTTAGTTGGGCGTGGTTCGTTGTTTTTGTAATGACTGTGTCCCTGTTAACACACCATAGTAACCTACGAAAGAAACACAATGTTCGCTTCATAGCAATCAACTCAGTTTATACTACTTAGATATGAGATACAGGCTAGTTTCATTTCTTACCCCTGTTGTTGACATAGTTGGATGATGTTATTCACTAATTAAATGCCTGAACAAAGAAGAATAAACAATATTAGGAATATAGACACATGCGTACATCAACAAGCCTCACAGAAATAACTTTGTGCCATAATTTACAAAGCGTATATAAAGTTAACTTACACTGACCGAGTCTCTGTTTGTTTCGAAGAGACAGTTTAACATCTGCCCTGCTGCCGGTCCTGCGCCTTTAATAAATGTGCGGTAGAGAAGCGACTTTACGATAGTTCCCGACACTGGTGAAAACGTTTACGGCAGCCCTTGGCCACACGTGTTGTCATCGCATGGGAGTCCCTCGGAGTAAATAGCTGCAGTTAACCGTTCGCATTTGTGAGTAATCTGCTTTAATTGTGTGTAGACAGTGTTACAGACTTTTCAACGTGTATATGTTGAAACTAAACTAATATAGCTTAGTTTGTGGTGAAATGCAGCTGAATTGTGTAGTTTAAAGACATAATTGGGTTAGCATGTTAGCTAAACGTTTGCCTTGCTGCTGGATCCACGATGTTAGCTCGTTGAATGCATTGCATTCACTGCACATTGTTTAGCTTCGGTTGGTCAATGCTCACTTTAAACAACCACAGGTTTTGGTTTGGTTTAAACTAATTCATTTTATTTTTCGTGTTTATCACTTAGGATTTGAAGAAAAATGTCTTTCAGAGGAGGTGGTGGACGAGGAGGCAGAGGTGGTGGAGGATTTAGCCGAGGTGGAGGAGGTGGATATGGAGGCGGAGGAGGAGGAGGCCGAGGAGGTGGATTTCGAGGAGGAAGAGGAGGTGGATTCGGACGTGGTGGTGGTGGCGGCGGCAGAGGTGGTTTTAATGACTACGGACCTCCAGAATATGTTGTTGGTAAGATCATAAAAGCAGTACTTCTGTTAAAATGTTGCAAAAGCTGCCAGCATGTTAGAGGTGGGCCCAGCTCCAATGTTCATCCGTAGCACTAAACACTGAGATGAGAATATCAGAAGAAATGTAACACAAACAATTTGCTTCACGTTGTTAAAAACATTTTTGTGTCCTTGCATGTCTACCACTAGGGCAATTATTAGAAAGACACATATGTAGTAATGAGTTTGTATACTTAAAGGCTATTAAGCTTGAACAAAAATGTGTTGTGTTTTTGTAGTTTCTCTTTTATGGCTCACTCTCGTCCAAACGACAATTAATGTTTGGGTATTCAGAAGTATGCTGGATTGTAAAACTGTGGAAACCTTTTATTAATGGCTAATAAAGTCAACATGGGGATGTATATTGGAAATGGGTCTTTTTTGTGATGTCAGAACACCTTATACCTAACTAACTTGTTAATTGTATTTCCACTCTGCAGCTGTGGGAGAGTTTGTGCATCCTTGTGAAGATGACCTTGTGGTTAAGTGTACAACAGAGGAGAACAAAGTTCCCTACTTCAACGCCCCAGTTTACTTGGAAAACAAAGAGCAGATCGGGAAGGTGGATGAGATATTCGGCCAGCTCCGTGACTTTGTATCCTTTCTGTTGTTTTAGTCTTGGGTGTGTGGTGAAATAAAGTACAGGTCAACTTCTGGGAATTATATACAAATGTTAAGCTCAAATCTTGTTAAATCCTTAACCAAATATTGCAGTATTTTTCCGTCAAACTTTCTGACAACATGAAGGCGACTTCCTTCAAGAAAATGCAGAAGGTATAAAGACATTTATTTTCATACTTAAGAGATTTTCCATTCCTCTATATTACACTTTATCAACACTATGTCTCTTTTAGTTTTATATAGATCCAATGAAGCTCCTCCCGCTGCAGAGATTCCTCCCCAGGCCGCCAGGAGAGAAGGGTCCGCCCAGAGGAGGCCGAGGGGGTAGAGGTGGAGGTCGTGGAGGTGAAGCATCCAAACTTTCTCATATTAAATATTCCTGTCCGTGTCCTAATCTGTAGTTCATGATCCTAAAGAAGAGGTTTCTTCCCCAGTTATAGTGACTTAGAGCATGGCTTGTATGCATAGCTTTATTAATTCCATTTTTGTTTCAGGTGGTTTCCGAGGTGGTCGTGGTGGAAGCTTCGGAGGTGGACGTGGCGGAAGCTTCGGAGGTGGACGTGGTGGAGGCTTTCGAGGCGACCGTGGTGGTGGAGGAGGCTTCAGGGGAAGAGGAGGCGGAGGAGGACGTGGATTCAGAGGTTTGCTCTTTTTCAATGTTCTGCAAACTTAAATGTTTTTTCTGGTGTGAAAGGTAAACATTTTTCTGTATTCGTTCACTTTCAGGCTCAAGATGATCTGACAGTGATGGTCTGGTGTCATCCATGTTTTGCGCTACACAAGCAAGAAGGCTGCGTCTATGCCAGTGCGTTGGCTGTTGGACTCCGAATATGGACATTGCCTCTGTTTGTAGAACTTGAATGGATTATCCCTTTTTTCTTTGTTTCATTTTTTACTAGTTTTGAATATGTGATGGATTCTTTTTTTTAAAGGTTCATATGTATGCGTGTGTCAAATGTAATGAGGACCTTTATAGCCTTCATGGAGAGTTAAGGGGCTCCTTTATGTACAGGCTTATCATTATTCTGATACTTTCCAAGTGTTGGGCAATGAGATGTTTGTACTTTGACAAAGACTTCAAGAGATCCAATCACAAACCTCAATGTATTATTTCCTCCAATGTGTGGGAAATCTTATATGCTGTTGGTTGAAGACATTTTAATACCCATAATCTGTGTCATCTTAAACAGAATGTTGTCACATTTTTGTTAAAGGCCTTCATTAAAAAAAAAAACTTTGTAACTGTCCTTTTATTTATTCTCAGACCTTTTATCAGAATGACAAGTGTCCTCACACATTTCCTAAGTTAAAGAATATTCTCAAGTCTACCTCCATTATAAAAATGTTTTGCTTATTGTTGATTCACTCGTGTGTTTGAGCATTACTGTGCAGAACTCTGCACTGACTCCATCAGGTCACACATAGTTTGGATTCCAGTCATGGTAAAAAAAGACAGAACCAAGTGGAAACATATAATGCACATACAAATGGTTTTACAAGAGTACAACTTTTGTGGTTCAAAGTATCTGATGCTCATGGATTTTTATCATTTAATTAAGAAATGTATGGGTGTGTAAGTAGTTTGTGTAGTAATAAGTATGTTCTATAAACTGGATGTTGGGGCTTTTAGGAACTTCAATATTGTGAAATTATAGTAACTCTAGAATTAGCAACTCGTATGCAGATTATACCTATTTTTATACACGTAAATATCCTCACAATCCCACATTCAGTAGCATAACATGAAGACCTAACACTTCGCGGTTTTCTCCAATGTGTTAATGTCTATTTCCAAGGCTTAGGTTGATCTTTCACTTGTCTTGTAGCTGAATGAAAATAAAATACTTTTGTTTGTGGCGCTGTCTTACGTGATACACTGTATGAAATATATAGTTATTTTATTTTTAATTTCAAATGGCTGTACAATCGGCCATACATTTCAATATTTAAGAAAAACAACCCACAAATAGATCTTTTTTGGGACAGACTTGAGCAGCCAAACATCTCCTGACTGACATGCATTTCCTGCGGACTGCGTCATTCTTACGCCGTACATTCTCGTTTCTGATTGGTCCGGAGGTTAACTCCTTTACGGCCGCGCAACGCCCCTCCCTTTTGTGCTGAAGGAACGAACATGGAGACAGCTGGGAAAGTAAGTACTTTTCGCACACAATTCACATTTGTAATGCATTATTTCATCACGTATGTGTCGTAACGTTTGCAATAATACACCTATATCATGAAACATAAGGCACTGTTTACTAGCGTGCACCCATTCACGTTTGAATGAGGAAGTACAAAGAAAGAATCTATTATGGATCTGATTTTTGGTCCGTCATTAGCAACTGGTATGCTCCAATGCCTAGTGTCCAGTGAGATATCTTCCATTCGGACTGGTGAAGGAACCGGGAAAAGTAATTTTGGTGCAACATGAATCGCAGTTTCACTCCTTTAGCATCAGAAACTTGAAGTATCTCAAGGGATTAATGGTATTACAGCACAACCTCACCAAAACAGTGAACTGCGGATCTCTAGTTTTGCTTTGCATAAGCCTGGATACAGTTCAAAGTTCACTGTGCGAAAAGTTCCACCTGTCACCCAAACTGTGACACCTCATTTAAATCCAAAGCTACTTTTGATCAATTACTTTGTACTAGCATTGTTTGGAAACAAAACTAACAAATACACTTGCTTTGCCTTCAGGTCATCAAGTGCAAGGCAGCTGTTGCCTGGGAAGCCGGCAAGCCTCTCTCCATTGAAGAGGTGGAGGTAGCCCCACCTAAGGCCCATGAAGTTCGCATCAAGGTAAACCAAAGCGTTGCATGCTTGGCAATGCAACTGAGACTCTAGCTGCTGTGTTCTTTTCATTCACATGACAACAAGGAAATAAGAGACCACTGTTTTTAAGACTTGTATGATGTTGATGTTATATAACTTGGGTATGCTTTAACTTATATGGCATGTATTTAAGATAATGCTAATATCAGGCCTAACATATTTGATATCCCCCCCATGTTTAGCAGTTTTGTCCGACATGAAGTTGACCCTGTGTTTCTCAGATCTTCGCCACAGGGGTGTGTCACACAGATGCCTACACTCTGAGCGGCAGTGACCCCGAGGGTCTCTTCCCCGTCATCCTGGGCCACGAGGGCGCTGGAAAAGTCGAGAGCGTTGGTGAGGGTGTGACCAAGTTCAAGCAAGGTATGGAGCTGCATTACAATATGCAATATACATTATTAAAATTGGTTTTGTTTGATTTCTAATTATTTACAATCCTCTTTCTCCAAGGTGATACTGTTGTCCCGTTGTATGTGCCTCAGTGTGGTGAATGCAAATTCTGCAAGAACCCCAAGACCAACCTTTGCCAGAAAATAAGGTAATTCTGTCAGACTTATTTATGCAAAAAAGTATTTACTAAAGCACACACATCTGGATGACAAATACTAGGTATTGCACTGAAGAAGATGAAAAAGACAGAAACAAATAAAGTCTGAACACAAGATTTTGACCCAATAAATTAAACAATGTAATACATACATTATCATCGGTGCATTATATTTTGTGTGAGCTCTGTTTTTTTGTAATTATTTATGCAACCTTGAGATGGTTAGCAATCTGTTTCCAGCAATAAAACAGATGTTGTAAAGTATTTCTTTGTGGTAGAACTTGCAACCGCAAAAGTTGAACTCACAGCCTCAGTTGCCCCACCCCAGGGAAACCAAATCAAAGCTCAGTCATCATTAGTTGGAGCCTCCACCTGCCCTGCATTAAAGTCCAGAACCATTGGGTTTCACCATGCGTACATGAAAATAAATCCTATTTTCCCCGTGCTTTCACCCTGCAGAGTCACCCAGGGCCAGGGCCTGCTTCCTGATGGCACCTCACGCTTCACTTGCAAGGGAAAGCAAGTGTTTCACTTCATGGGGACCAGCACCTTCTCGGAGTACACTGTGGTGGCCGACATCTCTCTGGCCAAGGTGAACGACAAGGCTCCCATGGATAGAGTGTGCCTTCTTGGATGTGGCATTTCTACAGGTTATGGTGCTGCTCTCAACACTGCCAAGGTGGGTATCACAGGTGGTAGGCCATTAGACTGCCTTCTGATAACTGAAAAATAATGTTTTGCCCAAAGGCTACGATGAAAAGAGCTTAAAATGTTGTCAGTGTGTGTATGTGTCACTCTAAAATAGGGCACTTTATGAATCATGCTGATTTAATGTGAACAAAATCCTTTTTGCCTATTGTGTCTGTTGCCCATATTTTCGTGTTGACCCCAAAGAGAACTCTAATATTTGTATAACTAAATGTGACAAGGCTACAAGTATGCACACAACTTTAAAGTTCACTCATACATTACATTTGATACATGCAAAGTTATTCAGTGAATTCTCACATTGCTATTCTCCCTCATGCACTCTCAGGTTGAGCCTGGCTCCACGTGTGCTGTATTTGGCCTCGGAGCTGTCGGCCTGGCTGTTATTATGGGCTGTAAGGTCGCTGGGGCAACCAGGATCATTGGTGTGGACATCAACCCTTCAAAGTTTGAGAAAGCCAAGGAGTTTGGAGCCACTGAGTTTGTGAACCCCAAGGACAGCAGCAAGCCCGTCCAGGAGGTGTTGGTGGAGATGACCGACGGGGGGGTGGACTACTCTTTCGAGTGCATTGGAAATGTGCAAATCATGGTGAGACACTTAGTTTTAAGTGTAGTAACAAATAGCAATAAGCAACATTAACATCCGATCACCTGTTTTACCATCCTTGTTGTTTGATAGATATTAGAGCCAGATTTACATAGTGTGCATTCAATGGATGGCACAAGCAGAATATAAAACAGTTTTCATGGTTGGTAATTCATAGAAATCCTAAATAATGTCATTTTATTATTTTCAGAGGGCTGCTCTGGAGGCATGCCACAAAGGATGGGGTGAGAGTATCATCATTGGTGTTGCCGGGGCTGGACAGGAGATTTCAACCAGACCCTTCCAGCTGGTGACCGGCCGAGTGTGGAAGGGCACTGCCTTTGGAGGTGACCTACTGTGTTAAATAATGACTTGTTATAATGAGCATTAGTCTGTTCGCAGTTCCAACGTAATGCAAGTCCAAAGGTTTACATTTTACTGGGCCCAATGCAGGAAGCAGTAAACAAACACATTTCCTCTTATATTTATTACTATCCATAATTGTTGTTATTTATAAGTCTAATTTAATGTAAGAGAACATTTGACCAGTGGTCAAGAGCACACTATCCAAGAAAATGCATGTTGTCCAACACGAGGAAACATAAGATTTGAGAAACATTAAAATAATGCATGATAAACATTTCGTAAATGTTATGTTTTATGGTAATTATAATGATTGGTTTATCAAGTTTGTCTGCTGCAGAAATACTGTAAATGCTTTGATCCTTATTATTAACAATATAAAACCCTTGGATTATAATTTTGCATACTCTGCTTTTGAATGGCTTACATACGGCTCTTAGATTTCTGTCTGTTATTGCCCCAGCTGCTTACGTGACTTTTCTTACAGCCTTTAAGTGGCATCTCTCCTAACATGGGGTGTAGCAGAGTATCTGCACATGGTGCGACAGCTGTCCTTTTATAGTTTTTAGGGGACTTAACCTATGCTAATTTGGCATTCAATCAGCCACATGCCTCCAGTTTACGAAATTTAAATGAGCTTCCTTCTGCACACCTGGGAGAGAGCAGATTTCGATAGTTAATAACATTTGGTGCATCTGGAGTTGAATTCTTAACACTGCTGTATTATTCTTCCACCCTTTTTGCTTTTAAACTGTCAGGTCGTGTTTCCTCATCTTTGTGTTCTGCTATATTCAAACAAGTTCTTTGGTATATTCTCTTTTATTTTTCTCTTCCCTGTGAGAGTGAGCTCTTGCCCAAGCTACGGGGAATTATTTAATTCTGTGAGCTGTGCCATCAGTTCATCAATCTCCTGCCGCCTCTCCTTGCTGTCTTGCCTGATCAGCTTTAAACTTGGCCTTAGTTTACAGCTGGTCAAATGAATCCTTCAGTATCCCATGCTGCTCTCGAAGCTGATCCCACTCCAGTTTGGTGACTTCTTTGCACTCTTCAAAAGGCCTGAAGGATGCTTTGAGGTTGGACTGTCTCTGAAGCTTTTAGATTATACCTGCCGAGACGGTATCTAAAGGAACAGGGTTTGAAGAAACTGCTGGAGTCTTTCTGTCTCCATGGATGGTCCCTACCTGCTCAGAAGCAACTTCGAATTAGCTTAGCTTTCACCAATTATCAAGAGAAAAATGTGACAGTTCTTGTCTTTCTAAGGCTTAACTTCTCAGATGTATATTCAGTCCTCTTTGGTTACGTTTAATCTCCTCTCTCCAGATCTTTATCTCTTCTTTCAGCTGTTCGATCAGAGTTTGCAATCCTTGTCTGGCAGTTTAAAAGTTAGATATTTTATTTCGGTTAAAATTGCTTTGCCCATGGCCTTTTGGTTAAACATTATTTGTATGCAGTGTAATTTTGGCTAAAGGAAATGTTGAGTTATTAAACTCATTTGAATATTTACCCCCAGGATGGAAGAGTGTGGAGAGCGTTCCTAAACTGGTGGATGACTACATGAATAAAAAGCTGAAGGTGGATGAGTTTGTGACCCATACCCTGCCCTTTGAGAAGATCAATGAGGGATTTGACCTCATGCATGCTGGGAAGAGGTGAGTAAAGTTCATTCATGCAGTCATTTTTCTGCTGTTCTGTTTCATTAAATACCCTAACCTTATTGTGTTGTGTTTTCTCATTACAGTATCCGCACAGTGCTGACCTTCTGAAGTGCCAAAAAAATATAGACATCCTTCACATTGGCCTTTAAACAATCTCATTTCATAGTTGCAGCACTTGATGTCTTTTGCACTTGTTTAGATGACAACATTTCAGTATTAGAATGTCATTTTTAGTAACAGCATAATCATGTTTGAAACAAAATGGTTATTAAACATTTTTTGAAAAATAATCATAGGTTTCTTTTGTCTTTTCTTGCTCATGTGTTGACTTCTAAAGCCATGTGACTGCATCTCTTAGAAGGAACATTAAACAATGGGTCTCTTTCAGCTTATTTTAGTCACTCAATAGTTGAAAGTATGAACGACATTAATCTTATCCTCGTTACAGTACCACATTCATACTCAATGCACATTATGTAACACAATGTATCCCCAAAAACCTTGCCAGACACTAAATATTGCATTAGAAAATTGAATATGATCATGTTTAACATAATGTCACATTTAAAAAAGAACAAATAATTGAGTTAACATATTTTTAAATGAATGTGGAAGTAGGGTATATTTTGTATTGACTCTTGGTAAAGTCACTGTCTGAGATAGCATAACACAGGCTGATAGCATCACAGTCTTCATCCTGAATAAAAGATTTGTCATGGATGTAATCACACTAGTATTTGCTGTTCTTGTGTAAACATGTCTTTTATCACCCAGAAGAACATGGTTTAGCAGTGTATGTTTTCACCAAGCCTGCACATTTTAGACATGTAAGTATGGGCTAAGCCTCTAACATACTTCAGGAAGGGTGTTAGACAGACTGAGAATGGCCCTTGGGTTTATCTTATGTTGGTACAATGTGACCCAGTGACGTGCAGTAATCATCAAGCTCTCATTTGCCAATATGTCTTTATGCTGGCTGTGGTCTTAGCTGCTCTCATACATAATACATAACAAGTTAGAATTCAAGTTACAAGTAGGAATTTAGCCCAAATATTCTGCTACCAGTTGTGTGGTATGTAGTGGACATTTGCATCTTTATCGTCTCATTTTGTGCCATTTATACAGGTGACTTGGGTTGTAGGAGAGGATGTTTCATGTCTGCTAAGATGACCTTTAGACGGTGATTATAATCAAGGGCTTCATAAATAAACCTGATCTTGTGGCGTTGCAGGTATCACCTTGGCTCTCTGGGTCAACCATACAACATGTAATATATTGACATCATCATTACTGCTATTGGTTCATTTATACTGCAAAAAGCTCACATTTGTCTCACTCAAACAGATTCCCTTGCCTGGCCACATGTTCCTACGATATGTTGATATTCTATCAGTTTTATTGTTCTGTAAGCTTGGATTTTTACTGATAATTTCGTGTCTTAAATGATTGTTTTGTTGGGTTTTTTGTGTGCTACTGCAACCCAAACATTTCCCAAATTGGGATCAATAAAGTACGTCTTATCTTATCTTATTATCTTATTTCTATAAACATTTGTAAGCCACAAAAGTACATTTCTAGTTTTACTATTACTTGAAATAAATCTATTTTGCACACATTTCCACTAATATGATTGGATTTATTTGATCTAGTAAATGTAAAGTAAGTAGTAAAATATACTTAAAAGTACCAACAAAAAAATACTCATTATGCAAATTGACCCATTTCAGAATAATATATACCATATGTTTGAGTATAATTATTGATGCATTTAAGTGTTATCGAAGCTGGTAAAGGTGCAGCTAGTTTTAATCACTGTGTAGTAGGGTAGGGTAGCTTGTGAATGTTACTCCAGGTGTAACTAAAGTCTGATTTAAGTGTTGATTATATTTCACACCATTATTCTAAATCTGGATCCAAGTAACTAAAGGTAGTAAATAAGTGCATTAAAGTAAAAATACACGATTTGCCTCTAACTTGTAGTAGATTAGAAGTACAAAGTAGCAAAAAGTGGAATACAGCGAATAAGTCAAATGCAAGTCCCTTAAAATTGTACTTAACTACAGTAATTCACAATTCAATTAACTTGAGTAACAGTACTTGTGCCCCACTCGGTCCTCCTACAGATACAAGTTTGAATTAGTCCGTCTTTCTGCGCATGCGTCACGTGGAGTACCAGGTGGCCCAATCAGCTAGTTTAACCCTTTTTAACACAGGCCAAAAAAGCTCAGCGTGCTTTCGGATGTCTTTGATCCAGAAGATGGCGACCGCTCTGGTGGTGAGTGTAAAGCCCTCAATGTGGGCAACTTAAACTCTTCAAACTACTGTTTTCCTATGTTATAAATGCTACAGATAAAATACTACAGGTATGAGAACTTCCTGTTAAAAACGTCTCGTTTTTCTGTGCAGCACAGGTACTCGGTAGCCCAACGACGTTGAATTAGCTTAAATATGCGCTTTTTATCTAATATGTTGTACCCAAAATTCGTCACCCTTTCAACCGTCTCATGGAAACTTCTACACACAGAGAGTACACACACGTTAGTACTAAGCACTGTGAGCAAACATACTTAAAATGTTTGTTTGATTTATGCTATAAGTATAGGCAGATCATTTGAGCGCCTTTTTACAACGTGCAAAAAATGCTACATTATGTGACGACGTTCCACTTTAGAGGGACAAGTCAGTGGGTTACGTTCATTTGGAGTTACTTCAATCTACTTGATTCTAAGTTGTACCATTTATTTTTGTATGGTCCTTGAACGTGTCACTTGGTAAGGTGTATGTGTAGATACTTTTTTGAAATGTGTACAGTACATTATTTGCTAAAACGTAAGTACAAAAGCAGTCTAGTCAAATGTTAAATATTTTAAAATGATTATAAAAACAAGAATTCAAATGATACTTTTATCTAAAGATATTACATATTTAATACATTCTGAATTACCAAATGAGAATACACAGAAGCATTGGATGTATAAAGGTAAAACTGAGAGAAGAAGTACAACGGAGACTATCTGTAAAAGGAAGAATACTAAAATAAATGTTATCCTCCTACACTAACTGTCCTTTCTTGTTGTCTTACTTGTTCTCCCTTAACATGACTGTTTGAAGAATCCACTACATTTTTCGTCACTTCTGAGGTTTCTTTTAATGTTTTGTACTTTTTTGTTCCTAGTTGACAGCTTCAGTCCCTGCTAATCATGGAAAGGACAAATGTGAAACCATCATTCAAAAGGTTATCAGTCCTGAATCATACATCAAGCATCCACTGCAAAACAAGTAAGACCAAAGATCTATTCACTATCAACAGTCAAGCAGGTATTACTCACCATGAGATTCAATAGTATTATAGGAAATGTGTGAATCTCTTCTTGTGAAACCAATTGTGAATGAGAAATATCACTAAGGGAAAAACATGCGATTTGTGTAAATCTTCTTTAATTTGCAGGTGGGCTCTTTGGTTTTTCAAGAACGACAAAAGCAAAACATGGCAGGCCAACCTTCGGCTCATCTCAAAATTTGACACGGTGGAAGACTTCTGGGCGTAAGTTTATCTTTGAGATATGTGACCTTAGTAAAATATATAGAAAGCAAAGTTTACTAATGGGAGACAACTTTAATAAATGTAATTACCTGTATCACTCCACCAAAAAGCAGTGTAACATTTTGGAAACTGGGTCTTCTAAAAGTTTGTTTTGTTGAAGCCTTAAAGAGCAACATGCAGGTTAGAGACACCAGTGAATACATGTGTAGGAAAATGATGTATACACTAGATTTTCCCAAAAATAGATAAATAACTACAGTGACATCTGGCGTCGTTTTTGTAAGACATTTTTACTTCCGCATATAAAAAAAACTCCCCACGTGACCTCCCGCGTGTCACGTCACATGGGGGAGAGCGGTCGGTCTAACGTAGTAATAAACATGGATCACAATGCTAGTTTTGACACGGAAGAGGTTGAAAATAAATATTCAAATGCATATGACGGACCACAACCATATAATTATAAGCCTGCTAGGCGTCCAAGAGACCAGGAGCAGCCAAGGAGTAGAAGAAATAACGGCCATCGGCGAGAAATGGAGCTGTGGTGTGAGGAGAACCAGTGGAGAACAGGGCAGCTGTCCTGGTGAGTGACCGGCGTTAGCTACAGTTAATGTTAGCTAACGTCAGTCACATCACAACATTGTAAAGTTATCATATATCAGGCTATAACTAAAGTAGTATTGATAATATAGTAACGTTACTGGCAGGACTGTTGATACTGATCCATAACAGAAACGAATGCGCAAGTGTCAGCCGTATCTCGCGTTACCTAATGCAAATCCACACTACGTTACGGTGCTGTACCGGAGGGGAGAGAGAGAGGAGCGAAGGGGGGGAGAGAGAGAGAGATGTAATACGGTTTCCTGATAAACGTTTTGTTTGATAGGCCTCAGCTGTGGAGAGTATGTGCTGCAGGGAGGTGGATGCACAACGCACCCAGGAACAAAAGCTAGCTCTGGTCCTTTTCCTGTTAGGGAAACTGTGGACTCGATGTCCTGAGCAAACTCAAGCTCACCATGATTACAAATGATGAAATGCAATGTGAAATGACCGAAAAAATAAATCACAACCGCTCAAACCAACTACAAACTACTACCGCGGATTGGGCAGAGAAGGAGTCCGAGAAAGTTGCTCCCCCATGTGACGTAGTATGACACGTTTGACGTATGACGTTTTTAAAAAAGCAGTTTTTAGTAGCAGAGCTCAAAACGGCTCCTTTCTGTCTGAATTCTTGCCCTTATGTCTTGTAAAACATATCAAATCCTGCATTAACTTTTTGAATTGTAATTTTCAGGCAAGGTTAAGCATAAATCTAGTAAAAAAAAAAAACCCTGCAAGTTGCTCTTTAACATCTGTGCCAGTTAATGTTCTTTGAAACATATGGGCAAAGATATGTCTCATAATTATTTGTGTGAACATAAAAATAATTTGTGTGTAAATATGTGATTTGTAAATGCAAAACACCATCCCACAAATGTGTTTAAAAGATTTACAAGCTCACAAATAAATGTGCAAGTGTAAAACGGATCTGCAAATACGCTAAATATTTTCACAAATTTAAAAAAAGATCTGTGAATATCTCTTTAACATTTACAACTTTCGATCAGGCATTTGTGAATCCATTTTGTATTTGTCGACCAAAAATGCGCTTGCGGATCTCAAATCTCTGCTCACGGATCTCACATTTCTGAAAAATCATGCGGAAATGTCCTCATCAGCGGGCCATCACGTGGTTTCCGAAAATAA